GTCCAATCCGTGAAATTCTGCACCTCTCATTTTTTGCTTGGAAGAGTTTTCACGGGCAGCAACATGACGATCGAGGAGTTGCGCGATGCTGCAAATATCCAGTGGCAAGGAAGAGGCCAGATCAAAGTCTCAATGGTCAAGCATGGTCTGGTGGAGTTTGTGATGCCAAGTGAAGAGGCCAAAACCTGGGTCCTGAAGCGTAGTCTGTGGATGCTCAGAGATAGAATCGTAAGCTTGCGATCTTGGACTCCGATGATCACAAAGGCAATTTTTGATGCCCTGGCAATTGCCCCATTCCGTGTCAAGCTCTTGGGAAGCCGGGAAGATGTTTGTACCAAACAATTCAGTCAGAAACTGGTATCCCCTACTATTGGACAAGTCTTAGAAGCAAGTGTCTTCACCTTCAAGGAGACTGAGGAATATTTTGTGAAAGTAAGAGCTCTTATGGATTTCACCAAGCCTTTGAGATCACAACTGTTTGCGACAAGTGAAGAGATTGGCTGATTTTGGGTCAATCTTCGTTATGAGTTCTTTCCTAGCTTCTGCTTCCACTGTGGACGTGTGGGCCATATTCAACGAGACTGCTCATATGATCCCCCCATCGGGAAGGAAAATTTTTGCCCGCATATGACCACAAAAAATCTAGGCCAGAAAATTTATGAGGATGATAACACTTCCCATCCTTTTAGAGGGTCACACAATACGGTGTGGGTCAATAGGGCGGTTCGTGCACATCAAACTAATTATAGGCAAAATGATTAAGGACGTGCTCTTGCTAGAGAGCACGTGGAGCGGAGGCGAAATCAATCCATGCAGAAGGACTGCCTGTCGCCCCAAATGCATGGCGTGGGCCGTGTAAGCCAGGGACCGAGTAGCTCCAATTCGATGCCCCGCCGTGGTAGTCCCTTGGTTTTCCATGTTTCCAAATCCCCGAGGCTCCATGCGGGGACTAGCCTACGTCGGGCTATGCATGGTCCTGGCATTCATCAAAAGCCGGTTGAGGATTCGCTCCGTGGATGCCGTTGGGGGCTGAACCGCGGTAGGAATGGGACCCATCACGGCACTGCTACGGAGATTTCCCCACTAAAGGCAGTGGATTCAGCCTCTCTTGGCATATTTGGCCCTCTTGCGAATGCTCGGCGCCGGTGTCTCCTGCTTGAGGAGGACTCGGATGATGATTTTAACTTCCATGGTATGGAGCAGGTGCTTGATGAGGACCGGAATGCTGAGGACTCCTCCGTGCTTCGACCTAAGCGCGGAGCAGCATTTGGAGATGACGACGCAAGTAATGCACGAAGGGACAGTGCCCGCCTGCCGGTCCAACCCAAGCTAGTGAGGGACGAACCTACTGGTCAAAAGAAGAAGGGGGATTCTAAGCTCGCTAAGAGCACAGGTGCCAAAGAACGAGGCGATAAGGCCTCCCTATCGGCGGTAGAGGGGAAGGTGGGACGAAAAGGAAAGAATAAGAAGGATAATGTCCCCGCTGGTGGGATTCAGGAAGATGCTGATGTTGTGGGTTTGGGGGACATTGCAACAGATGGTGGGCTGGAAGATTCGTTTTCTCCAACTTCTCTATCTGATGATGATGGCTGCCGGTTTGAATTGCGTAAACGCGCCCCAAGCTCTCAGCATGCCACGCATGGCCATTTCCACAATGTTGTTGTTGCTTTTGAGACTGGACTAGTCATTGGTGACGTTGACAATGGCAAAGATGTGAATGAGAAGTTGGATCGGACCATATGAGTATGGATCGAACCTTTTAGATCCAGTGATTGGAAGTCCGAAGAGACCTCTAGAAGCAACGGAGGGTGATTTAGGAGACTCCCACACCCAAAAAGCAGCTTATGGAAGATTTGGTGATTGATGGAAAGGTGGAGGAAGCCAGCCGTGAATGGCCCCACCCAGATAAATGAGGCTACTTGTTTGGAATATGAGAGGAATTTGACCATCCCTCACATTCCAAACAGTTGTCGGTTTAGTGCATTCCAATAATCCGAATCTCTTGTTTTTCTTTGTAACACGATCGAGACAAAGAGTAGTTTATCGTCGTACGCATGGTTTAGGTTTTGATTCTTCTTGTTTTTGTTTTCTTGATGCGGTCGACGCATATGGTGGTTTAGTTGCGGCTTGGTCCCCCAAAGTTGATGCTTCGGTGTTTTTTCATTCCAACTTCTGTATTTGTGTTCAAGTTAATGAAGTGAAGTTTTCGTATGTGGTGATTTATGTTTACATTAGTTGTAATGTCGCAATAAGAGCTACCCAGTTGGGTCAGCTCCAGGATCTCTGGGATGGCATACAAGTTCCATATGTTATCATAGGAGGTTTTAACACTTCTCTGCATGAGAGTGAGAAGGATGAGGGTAACCAATGGAACGTTTCTCATTCTCTTAGACTGCGTAATTTTGTTAAAAACCTGGGTCTCCTCGACCTAGGATACTAGGGGGATCAATTTACCTGGACGAACAAACGGATGGGGGCGGCTTGTATTCGTGAGATGCTGGACAGGGCTCTATGCTCCCAAGCCTGGCTTGACCGATTCCCTGATACCCTGGTCAAACATTTTACTGATTAGGGATCGGATCATCGGGCACTCCTTCTCTCTGATAAGCCATATGTCCAAAGTAGTCGCCCTCTCTTCCGTTTTGATGCTCGATGGGCGAATAATCTTGAAGTAAAAGCAATGGTGACTTATGTTTGGCAGGAAGACCTCCAGGGGACTCTTATGTTTTGTCTTTGGGAGCGGCTCAAGAAGCTCCGCCATTTACTATATGAATGGAGGAGAGCGGGCACTACATACTCCTTACGCAATATAAAAACTCTGCGGACCGAGATTGAGAGGATCGAGCAAATCCATCTGATTGATTGGGATGAGATCCGAAGCCTCAAAATGGAGTTAAATAGACAATGGGAGGCGGAAGAAGTTTACTGGCAGCAAAAGTCCAGAGTTCACTGGTTAAAGAAGGGTGACAAGAATACGTCTTACTTCCATACAGTGACTAGGATGCATCGTAAATAGAACTTTGTGGCCGGCCTCCGAAATGATAATGGCGAATGGATCACTGATGAAAAAGGAAAGGCAGATGTTGCAACTGATTTCTATCGCCATCTTTTCACCTCCGAGAATCAGGTCCTGAATATGCGAGACCAGGTAGCTGCTCTGCCTATCGATCATTATGTCACTCAGGAAATGAATGACGGCCTAACGGCTGCAGTGCTCACGGATGAGGTGCGAAATACTGTCTTTGCTATGGGATCGAAACAGGCCCTCGGGTCCGATGGTTTCACGGGTAAATTCTTCAAGGCCTTCTGGGAGATTGTGGGGAGTTCAGTGATTGAGGCAGTCTGCTCGTTCTTTACAACTAGTAGGATGCTCCGTAGCTTCAATCATACCTGGCTCACATTAATCCCCCAAGTGGATAATGTGGAGTTGATGAGTCGAAAAAGGCCTATGATAGAGTCGAATGGCATTTTCTTCTTGCGGTTTTGGACAAGATGGGGTTTAACTCTGTGTGGCAAGGATGGATACATGAGTGTCTCCGATCTACGTCTTTTTCTGTGCTGATGAACGGTACCCCGTCGGGTTATTTCAATCCCTCTAGGGGGCTACGCCAAGGGGATCCTTTTTCCCCTCTCTTATTCGTGCTCTGCACAGAGGGGTTTGCGGCTCTCCTGCGCAAGGCTATTTCGAAGAAAAGCCTGGTGAGGGTTAAAGTGGCCTCTCATGCCCCTAGGATCTCGCACTTGTTTTTTGCCGATGATTCTTATCTGTTCCTGCGTGGCACGCTCCAAGAATGTGAAAATTTGATTGAGGTCTTGAATGAGTACGAGGAGCTCAGTGGCTAGTGGTTGAATTTGGCAAAGTCAGCGGTATGCTTCATCAAAAATATTGCTTTGCCGGACCAAGAATTCTTAGTTGCGATACTAGGGGTTGGGGCGGTTGGGGTCCATGATAAATACCTGGGTCTTCCTACTTTGATTGCTCGATCTAAAATGGAGACATTCTGGTATTTAGAGGGGAAATTGTTGGAGTGGCTCCAGGGATGGAAGTAGAGGACTTTATATTGGGCGGCCAAGTAAACTCTGATTAAGTCAATCGCCCTGCGTTACCGTTGCATGTAATGTCATGTTTCAAACTGCCTCTCTCTCTGTGTGGTCTCCTGGATAAACATGTCGCCCGTTTCAGGTGGGGTGCTAACGAGGGCCATTCGAGAATTCAGTGGATGTCCTAGCGTGACATGTGTGGGAGTAAGCATGATGGAGGGATGGGATTTCACCGATTCGAGCATTTTAACTAGGCTCTTCTGGCCAAATTGGATGGTGTATCCTTTTTGAGCCCCAATCTATTCTTGCCCAAGTCTATAAAGGTAAGTATTTTCCTAATGGGCATTTCCTTAATGCTAAGGCTCTCTCTCGCCCGTCGTGGGGATGGCAAAGTATCCTGCTTGGTCGACAGTTATTGGAGATGGGATTAAGATGGCAAATTGAGAATGGGTGGTCGGCATCTCTGCAACACTCCACCTGGATCCCTCAGCTCTAGCTTGATCCCTCGCGATATAATCTGCAGGTTTTACCGGTCGGGGGTGACCAACCAGTTGCCGAGGTGACTTGTCAGGGGGAAGGGTGTTGGTGTGATCTCAAACTTAGTCAGTGGTTTGACCCACCTACTTGCTGTATTATTAAAGCTATTCCCCTCCCGCGGCGGAATTTAGAGGATAGGCTCATATGGCATGATACAGCTGATGGGGTGTTTTCGGCTAAATTACACGTTTGGTCACTCAAATTATACAAATCTTTCACGTTTGCCACCCGAATTACTTTTCTTTCTTATTCGCCACTAACTTTACGAATCGTTTCACGGTTGGTCACCGGCCGTTACACTCCGTTAAGTTTGTCCTACGTGGCAGTCAACTATAAAGTTTGACCGTTAACTAGATGACGTTGAAATTAAAAAAAAATTTATTTCCACCTCATCATTGCACTTATTTTGTCTATATAATTTATCATATTGATAATTTTCTTTCCAGCCGACCACTCCCCTTCTTCCTCTTCTTCTTCACAGCAGCAGACACCCACGACTTGCCCTTCTTGTCCCTCACTTTCCAAATGTTCCTCTTCCTGAACACCAGCTTGTCAAACTTCCACACCTCGTAGCTGGTATCAATCACCGTCACTTCACTCCGCGAGTACCCTTTCAGCTCTCTATCCCCTCCACACCCTTCAACGTCGCCACGGCTGCACTCGTCCTTATCCTTCTCCTCATCTACGCCATCCCCACCGCGCTTAGATCGTACAATGTTTGAATTGCTGTTGGAATTGAGCGAAGAATTCGTCACACCCGCCGCCTTCTCGTCGCCCCGCAGCGCAGGCGAGGCAGGAAGGGCGCAGAACTTAGGGTTCGTCTGCTTCCTGGCGCCCTTATTCCTGGTTATTCCGGTGGGTCCGCCCATGTAGAAGAGATCGGAGAGGAAATTGGTCATCACGCCGAACCAGTCCCCTTCACCATTTCGGCTGGATATTTCGGGGGCTTGTTCCGTGACGGAGTTGGAATTGACGAGGGAATTGGAGGCGGCAGCATCATCGGATGTAGGGGAATCGCAAGCGTCTTCGTCGGCGGTGGGTTTGGTGAGAAGGAAGTCGTCTAATCCGACGTCGCTGGAGGTGGGGAAGCCTTTGGAAGATCGGAGTCGGTCCAGCCAATTTGAACTGGGCTTCCCGCCGGGGACTGAGCACAACATTGGGGAAGGGTAGTAGTGAGATTCAGATCGTATCAATTGGTGCGGCGGTTGGTTGGTTGCAGCGAGGATTTAGCCACGACGGGAGGAAGGATCGGCAGAGCCTCCGCAGGTATCTTGTCTCATCCTCCTTTGGCTCTGGCTCTGGGTTTGGCCATATCAATAGCAATAGGGTCTGAAGAGACGCGGATTCGAAGTGACAGTGATTGATACCAGTTACAAGGTGTGGAAGTTTGACAAGTTGGTGTTCAGAAAGAGGAACATTTGGAAAATGAGGGACAAGAAGGGCAAGTCGTGGGTGTCTGCTGCTGCGAAGAAGAAGGGGAGTGGTAGGCTGGAAAGAAAATTATTAATATGATAAATTATATAGACAAAATAAGTGCAATGATGAGGTGCAAAAGAAATTTTTTTTATTTTTTTTTAATTTCCACGTCATCTAGTTAACGGTCAAACTTTATAGTTGACTGCCACGTAGGACAAACTTAACGGAGTGTAACGGCCGGTGACCAACCGTGAAACGATTCGTAAAGTTAGTGGCGAATAAGAAAGAAAAGTAATTCGGGTGGCAAACGTGAATGATTTGTATAATTTGAGTGACCAAACGTGTAATTTAGCCGGTGTTTTCTGTTAAGTCTGCTTACCACTTGACTGTCTCCCTTGATAGGAGGAGGAGTAGTTGGAGGGCTACGGCTAGTTGGATGGATAAGTTCGGTTGGATTTCGTTGTGGGAGGCTAATATTCCCCCCAAGTTAAAGGTGTTTGTCTGGAAGATCCTAAATCGAATCTTACCAACTACGGAAGCCCTCATTGGTAAGAAAGTCCTGGTGCTCCCTCGTTGCCCGGTTTGCTGGGATAGTCCTGAAACTATGGAACATTTGTTTCTATATTGTCCGGTGGCACGTGCCCTTAGGGGCTATTCGGGGCTGGGGTACTTAGGGGAGGGTCTTCCTCGCCATACTTTCCCAGCTGATGGCTTTAATTCACTAGTCGACGCTGTTCATGGCAGTTGTCGCCGTCCTTTGGCGGATCTGGAGGTCTCGAAAATGGGTGGTCTTTGAAGGAAAACAGTTTGGGATCCCTTCTTTGATGCGTCAATTTGCTCAGCAATATGAGGAATGGGTGCGGCTACCGGTGGATAAAGCTCTTCAGGTCTCTGTTCCTATGGTACAACAACCGGGGCTGGCGGTTCATACTGGGGTTGTTTGTATGTGGGATGGGGCTACTAGGAGTGGATCTCATTCAACGGGCGGGTTGGGTCTTATGACCCCAACTCGGGAAATCCTTATGGCTAAAGGGATTCAATTTCCTATAAGATGACCCCATGGTGGTGGAACTGCTTGTCCTCCGTGAGGGTATTATTTGGTGTCTGGACCATGGCGTCACGGATATAAGATTCGAAGGGGATCCTAAGGTGATCATCGACAAAAATCAGGCGGGTCGATACAAGGGACAACCAGTTGGGTGCGTTTCTTGAAGAAGTGGTGTTGGCTTTTACCAGCAACCCCGAGTTTAGTGTTCGATTTGTAGGTCGGAGTAGTAATAGGGTAGCCCATATGGTGGCTAGAAAGGCCCTCTCTTTGTACCCAACTATGAGTCGTTTCTTCGATTTTCAGTCATGGCTGATCTCCAGGATGTAACTATCTATTCTTTGAATCAATACATGATTATCTTTTGTAAAAAAAAAAGTTGGTTAATAGATTGATTGGGAGGAATTTAAGTCAAATTGAGGGATCCTTTGTCATAAGTAAATCCAATAGCGTTTGAACTAGCCCGGTGATTTGTAAGAATTGCAAAGTACTCCACCCTGTTAAATCTGTCGCTAAGAACCCATAAATTCAAACGATCTAACTTCTATTTCGCTATAGGATCACAAGGGCGAATCGCCTCGTTTAGAGCAAGTAACCGTTGAGTGAAGGCAATATCATTTTCACGCTACTTGACATAATAAGGTGCGTGGTTTGAGGGGGCTAGTTAGTATTCCATTCTGAATTATGTATGATGCACGTTACTTGAATTAAATGATTTGCTCTTATGTGCTATCGGTATTTAAGTTTATGCATTTACTTCATTCACGTTCAAGTTATGATTTATGATTATTATGCACATTCAGCATACATAGCATCATGTTCATCAAAGATCAAGCTGAACCCAAGTTGCTAAGTTAAGTAAGTTATAAAGTTGGATCTTCCCATTGTGTGGAAGATCGCCAAGCTCTTCAAGTATGAGAGCAAGTATGACTTAATTATATTTCTCCTTGGGTGAGAGATTAATTACGGCAAGCATGCATAAGTCAACAAGTTAATAAGTAAGAACAAGTTAACCTCGCTTAGCTAGCCACTTTTCACGATGGATCACTACTGGACGGGGATATGTAACGCAGTTTCCATTGCCCATGTTTAGGTATGCAACCGGACGGCGATACGCAACGCGGTTGGCATACCTCAGTTTTGACACTGGACGGTGATACGTAACACGGTGGTCATAACTCATGTTAAGCAGGCAGTGGCGCCAGCTAAGTCGAGGTAGCTAGGGGCCCCGTCATAAGATAAAAGATGCAAGATAGTTCAAGAAATCCTAATAATGTACCTCTAATAATGTACTAAGACAATGCATCACATTTGCACCCATATGCATGTTGTTTGATTTTATATTATATGTAAAGAATGGAATATAGGATTAGGACTGACCCCAACGCCCGCATTCAGGAGTTGCAAGCAAGCAAGAGTATTCGGACCATCAACTAAGATAAAGTTGTATCTCGAGATGTAATCGTCGCAGGGTTAGTGATTTTTGAAGTTTCCAAGTGAACCACCTTCACTTGTGTAATTTTATTAGTAGGCTTGAGACTGATGCTCATTTATGATTTTGTAACGAGATATTCCTATGGTGATTTGAAATTATTTTATGATATTTTAATCATTCCTTTTGCTTTGAATAAATTTTGATTTCTCATGGGCAATTTGGTAAAAGTAGTGCTCGGTCGGGCTAGGGTATTACACTTCCCATTTTTCTGTTTTTTGTTTAGAAAATAAAAAACAAGAAACAAATGACAAAAAACGTGTTCACTTATTCATCTCGTTTTGGTTTGAAAAAACTAATTGTAACAAATGGAAAAGCTGTGGATAAACAATAAATACTCGTTTTCTATAAACAAGGGGACGGGTTATTCCCCCATTTCCCAACGGAAATCGCGCGCTCTCCATTAATGAGATCCCGCGTCCGAATCACCGTGGCCACTTTTTTTTTTCTTTTTCCTCCATGATCCTTTACGGCAATGTTTTCACCCAACTCTTTCACTCACCATGGCACCATAACCCTTGCCGACATCTCCCTCGCAATTGCTCTTTCACCCAGCCGATATCTCCCTCTCCCTCCAAGAGACCTCCCCGACCGCCACTTCCTTCTCCACCCAAACCACCACCAGCCCCATCGTCTTCCTCTGCCAGCCCCGCGACGCCATCATCTAACCCCCCGCGTTCGAGATCCTCTTCCCGTGCCTCTATCGTTTTCCTCTCCCTCGCCAGCCCCGCGCCGCCATCATCTGCGAGACAGAAACTTCCCCGACGCGAGAAGCTCCAGCCAGCGGAGAAGCATTCCTGTAGAAGCAGCTCATTCCAGGTAGCGACTCATTCCAGTAGAAGCAGCACCGAAGGAGATTTCCCCTTCTCGATTCCTCCTCCAGCAGAGAAGCTGCTTACGATTCCTCCTCCGGCACCGAAGCTGCAAGCGATTCCTCCTCCAGCCGCACATCTTCCTCCTCCTGTTGTCGACCCATTCCAGGTACCTTCGCTTCCTACCGGCGACCCGATCCATGCTTGCTTGTGATGATGAATTGGACTGGTTTGGTCATGTTTTGTGCTGCGAGTTTGAATGCAAATAATAACAATGGACAAATTTGTTGCTTTATTGATTTGATTGTAAATGATGTTGTCTTCTTTTGTTTTGTTTATTATCAAGCTGTTGGTGATCTCTTATTTCGTATTGAATTGTAGCGTGATAAGCAATGGCTGATAATGATGTCGAAAACAATAATGATTGTGTCATACTTGAGGAAGTGACGTTTGGCCTAATATAGTAGTGGAGTATTTCATTTCTTTGATGCTCGAGGAAGTAAAGAAGGGGAACAAACATACGAAAACTTTCACTAAATTGGGATGGTCCAACATCCAAAATGGGTTGAAGATTAATTTCAACAAGGACTATGTCCCCGATCAGTTGAAGAATAAATTTAATTTGATGACGAGAAAACACCAGGAATTAGTTACTCTTCTGTAACAGGAAGGATTGCTGCCTCTTATGATCAGTGGAAGGTGTGGAACGAGGTAATTGACATTTTTCGTCATTGTGATTGAATTGAAAGTAGTAATTAGGAAAGAGGAATTGATTAGAATGTTGCATTTGCAGCGATACAAGATGATGGGGACTATTAGGAAGCATGGATGTCCAGAGTATGAAAACCTATGCATATTATTTGGTGATACAACTGCCTCTGGTGTGAATGTTGTTACTTCTACTGACGAGGTCTCAGATAGTAGTGGTGAGCCTAGCAAAGCAAAGGATGTGGATCTTGATGGTACGAAAATGTGGGTGGAGTCTCTGGTTGTGCCAAGGAGACGTTGCCCAAAGTAAAGAGTAAAGGAAAGAAGAGAAAAGATGCTAGATCTGGCTTTACTAATGCTGTGGAGAATGCCATAATCAGCATGGCTGAAGACTCCAAAAGGAAGAGTGAGAGGCGTGAAGCCAAGGAGGCTGCCTCTTCTGTTGGAGGACCTATGCATGATGTATCTTCACAAGATAAGGAGCTTGACATTATGACTGAATGCATGAATTTATTAGATGAATTGGAGGTGGAGGCTAATGTATTTGTGAAGGCTTTCGATGTTCTACATGATTGTCCACTGAAGAGAGGACTTTTCTTGCGTATGACAGAGAGGATAAGGAAAGAATGGTTGTTGAGTTTAGTGTGACTATGAGTGTTTGTTGAGAACTGCAGTGACATTTGTTTGTTGAGTGTTTGATGAGTTCTTACTATGATGTTTGATGAATTTTAGTATGATGTTTGATGACTTTTAGTATTATGTTTTTTAATTGTAAGAATCGTATGAACTAAGTTGTAATTGAATGTTTGAGTGTTATATCACTTGCATTGCTGTTGTATTATCCATTTCTAATGAAGTTATTATGCATTGCGGAACTTATGAATTTAGATTTAGATTCCGATTCCGATGAAGAGTTGAAATTCATAATGCTTGTGGCTTTGTTGGAGAATGAGTGATCTAAGTCTGTTAGGATGCCATATATGAATCACTCCGAATGGATAAAGAAATTTTCTTTGCTTTGTGTGAGGAATTGAAGCAATATGGTAGGTTGAAGGATACCACTAATGTGATGGTCGAAGAACAAATTGCAATCTTTCTGAAGACTATAGGTCACGCAAATGACTTCCACAACCTTGCAGAACGGTTTCAACATTCTACTGCAACCATCTCAAAGTACTTTAATCTAGTGTTGAAAGTAGTGGTTAAGCTTGAAAATAGGGTCATTGTTCCCCCAAATTTGGAAGCTGCTCCCGAAAGAATAATTTATTCAAAACATGATCCATATTTCAAGGTAAGAAATTCTCTTTATAATTGAGGATTAATATTCGAATGTACTTTAATTATGACATTTACTCACATGAATTTAGGATTGCATCGGAGCAATAGATGGAGTTCATATTGACATAGTGGTTCCGAGTGGTGAACAGATTCCATATCGAGGATGGAAGACAAGAACAATAAGCATATAATCATAGTTCAAGCCAAACTCGAGCGATGGATGTACAACGAGATGGAATAGCAAACAAGTTGTGGGATGACTTTCAAGCTGGACTTATTTGTATTTTTATGATGTACTATTACTTAATTAATATAAGATGTTGTACTTGTATTGTGTTTTTTGTAGTTTAAAAACTATTTAATTCGAATTAAAAATTATAATCATGGCTAGGGTTGTATGATAATCAAGAATCAGAAAACCAAATGAAGCAACTAAATAGGTTTTCATTTTCAGAACGCAGCTTCAGAACTCATCAAAATTCTCAGCTAAACAAGGTTTTTTCAGGTTTTGTTTTCCAGGAAATGACAGCTTCGTTTTCACTTTAATTTTGTTTTCCGTTGTGGCAGCCATAGTAGTCAAAATCCCGAATTAAATTCTAAAATCCTACGATTTTATGATTTTACTTACCTACTCTGATTCTGATTTCAATATAAAATCTATCGACCTTAAAATCCTACACTCTTCACGATTTAAATCCTTAAAATCTTTAAAATCCTACGATTTTACGATTCAAATCTTTGAATCAGTTTTACTTATTTTTACCAGTATTGGAAAAATTACACCTATTTTCCTTCTACTCGACCAACGTCATCTAGTTCTCTCACACTAACCACTATCGGCCATCATCAATTCGCATCAACGTATTAACCAGCATCGATTCATCACCTTTTAACATTAACCTTGATAAATTGGAACATTATCCTTGAGAAATTATCATTATATTTGTTATGTCTTTTTGTGTTGCTCGTGATTTTTCTTATTAATATTATTTTATTTTTCATTTTTATATGGACCTTAAAATCCTACGATTTTACGATTCCGATTTTACCTCCATTTACGATTTTAGTCAAAATCCTGATTTTAACTACTAACAGAAATGGAATGGCAAGTAAACGACCCATCAGGTTTAGCTGAAGAAGGAATGAGATAGAGGAGAAAAAAAGCGTATAGATGGATTCTTATGCATAACTACTACTATAACCACTAAGTTTTAGTAATAGTGACATATAGTACCTACATTTTTAAATAACAGCAACACAATTACAACCAAATGATTTAGTTGCTGAATTTCTTTATTGGATTTGCAACCAAATTATTTGGTTATTTAAGATTTTGAAAACTCTTATTTAAATTCATAACCAATTATATTTGGTTGGTGAAAGTAAAAATTATTATATTACCAACTTTTTTTCGGTAATTAGAACTTTAACCAAAAGCACCTTCTTGGCCAAAAACAACACAAGAGCTCGAAAAATACAAAGGCAGAAGCCTACACACATCCTGTTACACGGAGAAACAAAGAAAAACAACTACTCTAAGCATTGACAGCAGCTAGTAGTTTTCTGTATAAGAACATGGAAATCGGCATGAGCACAAACATAGGTCAAACTCTTCCCTTAGAAGTTCAGCTTGCACCTGAACAGCTCAAGGCTGCTCTCCAAATACTCTCTGGCATCTCTCTTTCCATACAAAACTGACACATCAACACCAAACTGAGGCTTCAATCACACCACAACTTCATTGAGACTAGATTCGTTTGACCATAAACAGCAGCATTGCAGACCAATCCACTGAAAATCTATCTTGTTCCGTAGGAAAACAACAACAAATTCCTGCATATACACACATTGACAGAACAAATGATTTCGAGATTATCCGTTGCCCCACAAAGCATGCAGGAGCTATCATTAGTAAGCGCCCAAAGCTTCAGTTTGTCCCAGGTGGCTATTCTATGAAGAATGATTAACCAGACAACAACACTATATCGAGGTATAACAAACTTATTCCAGATGATTTTCCACCATTTAACTCCTGGCCACTTCCTTCTGATCGATTCCCAAACCATCGAGATAGAAAAATTTTCCATCTTCTTACCCTCCCACATAACGCAACCTTGCTCCACATCCATCCTAAACCTTAACCATGATCGGATCTTCAAAATCTGCTTTCAGATCCAAGAGCCCGAGGAGGTGATTCGAGCTTCCCTAGATCGAACCCCCATGAGTCTGTAGTTACAAATCCAGGACACCCAGAAGCTACCTCACTAAAGGAGAAACAGTCAAATAAGCCTAGCCAATGCAGCACATTCCATAAAATCAGATCCTTCAAACCCATACCACCTTCCGTTTTAGGAAACGCCAAAGATTAACAAGCCACTTTTGCTCTGCCTGATTTTTCTCCATGCCAGATAAAGTCAAAGCAGATCTTTTGAATGCTTTTAAACACATTCTTTGGGAGAAGAAAAATAGTCATCCATTAGTGAATAAGAGAGTACAAAACTGACTCCACCAACTGCAATTTACATGCATATGGTAGCGCCTACAAGCTCTCCACTTCCTAATCCGACTGGTAATCTTGTCTACTAGAATAGCACATTCACGACTAGAAAGCTTACTAGCAATCAGAGGTAGACCTAGATATCGAACATGTAGAACCCCCTCCTTAAAACCAGACATCTTGAGTGCATTAGACTTAAACTGATGTGCAAAACCCCCAAAGGAAACCTCACATTTGTCCGGGTTACATTGAAGACCAGAAAGTCTATAAAAAATCATTTAGAATACTTCTCAACCCAGTTAATGCAAACGCTTATCCTTCAGAAAAGATCAGGAGTTCGTCATCAAAACTTAGGTGAGTTAATCCCAACCTTTTACATTGAGGATTATAGGGCAGACTACCCTTGAGAGCAGCATCATTAAGCATGCCTGTAAGAGGCTCTATGGCAATGATAAAAAGGTAAGAGGACAAAGGTTCCCCTGGCTCATCCCCCTCGGCAACATTAAAAAATCCAAAAAGACTCCAATGGATAGAAATACCAAATGTAGCAGAGCTCAAACATAAACCAATCCACTGCATAAATCTATGAGGAAAGCCCATCTTGACCATAACACACTTCAAATAATCCCAATTTACAGAATCAAAAGCCTTACTCAAATCAACTTTCACATCACATCTTGAAGAAATATCCTGCTTTGAATAGTTATGGACAATTTCCTGAGCCATCAGTATGTTCTCGATTATACTACGACCTTTTATAAAGGAAGATTGATTTCTACTGATAACCAAAGAGAGGACATTCTTAAGTCCGTTAGCAAGGACCTTATAGATGATCTTATAGATCACATTGATACAAGCAATAAGCCTAAAAGAGTTTAAATGATCTGCATTCAACACTTTATGTACCAAGGTCAACGAGGCAGAGTTCATACCATTTGGCAGTTTTAGCTCAGCAAAAAATTGTAGAATACCCTCAATAACCCTCGGACCAATGGTTCCCTAGCACCTCTGATAGAAGCTTGCAGACCAACCATCTAGACCCGAAGCTTTGGAGTCCATTTCAAAGAGAGCAGTATAGATTTCCTGTCAATACAATGCCCCACAAAGAAGCTGCAGCTCCTCAGGATTGAGCCGACTCCGAAGACAACTATCAATCAGATCCTCACCAACTTGAACTTCCTTATTAACACAACCAAACAATTGCTTATAGTAAGCAACTGCTTCATCAGCAATGTCGTTGACATCTGTCAAAACCTCCCCTCTAGAAGAAATAAGTTTCCTGCTTCCTGGCTGTTTGGAATTGAGCAGATTTGTGGAAGAAAGAGGAGTTTTGGTCCCCAAGAGATAACCATCTTATCCGAGACCTTTGCCTAAAAAATGCTTCCTCTCCTTTCTTTAACTGTATGTATTCCTTCGTTACCTTCCTAACCTCAGTGAATCGAAGAATTGAAGTATCATCAAGGGCCTAAAGTTGCTTTTCTTTCATCTTAGCTTCCTTGACTTTTACCCTCCCAGAGATGTCCCAAAATTCTTCCTTGTTCAGCTTCCTCAATTCCTGTTTCAGAAGATACAAACTCCGCTTGATGCCAAATAACCCATTACCAGAAACCTTAGCTCCCAGACGTCGTTAAGAATAGAAGCAAAGGAATCATGCTGAAGCCACGTGTCATAGAACCTAAAAGGTTTAGGAAACCTCCTAGCTGGCAGCCTAGGAGTAACAAGAATTCCACTATGATCCGAGAAATCTGGAGCCAGAAACTCCACCACACAATCCTGTAACTTCTCCAACCAATCCACATTGACCATAACATAAGCCTATCCAACTTCCAAGCAATGGGATTGCTTTGCTACTGATTTGACCAAGTAAAGATAAGACTTGTTGCAGTATGATCAACCACTTCCATTTGCCTAATCCAGTCTCTAAAATTAGTAGTACTAGGGGAAATGGATACCTCATTAGAAGCCTCGGATAGATACAACATAGCATTAAAGACACCACCTACCAACCAAGGGAAACCTTGGACTTTCCATTTACTTAGACACCTGTAAGTGCTTAGTCTGTCCTTCTCCTCATTAGAACCATAAACCGATGTGAAGAAAAACTTATCATTATTTTCCAGTGACACCAGAGTGTGAATATAATTCACCTCTGTAGCCAACACCAGGGTGTTTACTATAGTTATCAGCAAATCGAAAACCGACAAACTTCTGTCTTACTTCCTCAATCTTTGTGGACTTATGAACTCTAGTTTCTAATAAAGAAAACAAAATTACCTGATTTACTCTCAGATACTCAAGCACTGCTTCGTGCTTCTCAAGGCTATTAAAGCCCCTCATGTTCCATATTAGAAACTTCATTTACGTGGGTACTTAGCCACCTTAGTGGCACCTCCCTGACTTCTTAAACCCTTCCTAGATGCTTTCTTTTTTGGTGGAGGCTGCAGCTTAACATTTCTACTCCCACATATCAATTCAAATGCATTAGTATGAATAATAGGTGGAGTAGCTCCTTTTGCTTTAGGCTTTACACCATTGATGACCTTGTTGAATTCCTCTTTAACTGGGAGTCACTAGAGGGGTGGTATCAATCAAAACTGTCTTGCCTTTGTCTGCCACTCCAGTCTCCTGCACAACCAATACCTCATCCTCCTTATTAAGAGAAGAAACTTGGGTCTGCTTGACCCGCTACACCTTCTTCGTCTTCATCCCAGCAGGTGGAAATGAGCAATCATGCCCAAACACCATACATTTATCACAACACCGTGGAAGACCGCAATACTCAACCCCTGTAAAG